GGGGTTTTAACACATCGATTCTAAACAAACATTCTTTACACAAAGCTAAATACCACACTATTATCATCGTTATCATCAGTGTAAATCATATAAGCATGCAGTTATAAGCTTGAATACATACAATAAGCCAGCCAAAGGATGAATAATCACTCCCTAAGGTAATAATAAATAAATGAATATATAAATCAATTTGAAAACAACAATAGTTATAAGAATGAGTAAAACTGAAGTCGAACAATTATTCATTGCCATACACGGATAATAATAATAAAGAGATAATAATAACGACATGAGTCTTAGTCATCAGTATGCACGACAGTAATGATGAGAAACTCTTATCACCTCTAATTACCATAAAACATTCATTACGCGTCGCCTTATTTTTCCCGATATTTCCATATCCTCTTCCCTCCTTCCCTGTCTCTCTCTCTCTCGAGATGTTCTTCTTTGAAACATAAAAGTTAACCGATTAACTAACGTCGGTAATTTATTATCACGTTAGTTCTAGTTTACATTTCGACTAACAGACATATGCTTATATTTCTGCTATAGTTGGCTGCTTGTAAGGATTAGTTTTGTTTTATTTTTTACGAGTTTGACCACGAATTATTGATATCAATGCGCCTCGTATTCGGCGCATATATAGCCCTGATACTGTGGAAGATGAGTTATACATTTTCAGGAAAATCCTAATGGAAAATGGATTTCCACCACGTTTTATAGATAAGAATATACATTCAAAGCCTACAAAACGTGACTTATCAACCGTTCCCAAGGAAATACTTTACATGAGCTTGGAACTAAAAGGGGACTTAGCTTCCGATATCATGAAAAGAAGGATATCACAGTCTCGGAAAAGGATATTCTCTGCTGCATCTCTGAGAACAGCCTTTACTAGTCGACCATTACTGTTCAATAACCCGAAGTTCAAGATCCCGCTGCTGACCAACTCTGTGTGTGTGTGTGTTTATCAATCCACCTGCTCTTGTGGAGCTAGGTATATTGGTCGTTCGACTTGAGTTTACTCCAAGAGGGTGCAAGAACACTATCCTGCCTGGTTGTTACGAAGAGGTGGAAGTGGAGCAATAAGAAGCGCGATCATTGAACATCTGGTCGATAATGATAACCCTATCTCTATACCCTCCGCCTTTAAAATCATCTACAAGGCAAAGAGTAATTTACCCAATTTCACCATGTACCCGACTCATCTGTATTGCTGAAGCCATCTTTCGCTATCGAAACAGAAAAGCCAGATCTCTGTGTACAGAAAAAGAGGTTCGTTCAACCCCTCCAACTTTCATGGTCTTAATCCCTCTATGCTAAAGTATGGTAATCCCTAATCATATTTTAGCCCTACCAATTTTTCATTTTGTCTATTCAATTTGTATACTCTTCCTTATTAAGTCAATTGTTATTATTACTATTCTCACTTTGAACTGTTCCCGGTATTATTTCACTTGTTCCACTTGTCATTCTAAATCAATTCTCTGTTTTACAACGATAAATTCTATACTATTAAATTTCACACAATATTACGTAACGTTTTTATTCTTATTCGATTTGTCTACTAATCCTATAATTGCACACCCCACCCACCAAGTTCTATCCATCCTATGAATTATTCTATATATATCACATAAATTTCCTTTGCCACTTGACATTTAACTATGATTATAATCACAAACATTTTAGTTTTCAATTGCATTACATACTACTATTATTAATATTTTATGCATTCACACCTAAGATTCAATTCCCCCACCGGATATAACTTCTTAAAAACTATATATATACGATTGTACAGGTTGGTGATAAATTCGTTGAAAAGAGTCGCTTCGTTGTATCACCACTTGTTTTGATTTTTTATTGATATCAGTTAGAGAACCATTGAAAATCAACCGGGAGTACTGAACATCTGTTTCATCCAAGTTTGGGACTCTTTGGCAGTACACACCCACACTGTACGGGGTTGGAACCCAGGACCTTCCGGTTACAACGCAAGCTGGCTTGTATACCATTCAAACACTGGGACCCAACCAATTCAATGACCATTCCATGGATTCTAACTTCTACCATTATGGATAAGATTTTATTTTGATAAGTCACACAGTGTTGTTACACACTAATATTAACTGATGACCTCGTTTCGAGCACAAATTATTGCCACTCATAAGCATATCAGGTTACTCACACAATTTTTTTTCCTTCATTTATATACATGAGTGTACCGACAGAAGTCAAGGGCCAGGCAGCAGATTATTTATTGAGAGAATCAAGAAATATTTATAGATTTTTATATACATTATTATCAGTGGGGAAACAACGTCTTCTGATTGGTTGTTTTCTTGATGAAGGTTATTCTGTACTGCTTGTGATCATTTCTCAGAAAGTTAAGCCATATATCTGCGAAGTATATTTGCACATGTTAAGTCTGCTGTGATTGGTTGGTCAGTTCCTCAAGGTTAAGCTTTGTTATTGTTTTTTCTCATGACATCGATTCGGCACGTCAATATTGACATAAATCGCTGTTTAAAATTTTAGCTTGTTCGCAGCCAGCTCTCACCATAGTAGAGCTATGCATCGTGAATTGATAGAAGTCAGGATCTATGGGTCATTGTATTCCAACCCAGCAGTAGCTAAATATCCAACGAGCTGGTTTCGTAACCCCAAGGTCTTAGGGTTCTTTCCCTGATGACTAAATCGTTGGTGTGCACTACTGAAGAGTCCCCTAATGAGACGAAACAGCTGTCCAGTGCTGTATGACTGAGTTTGATTTGTGAAGAATCCATACAAAACCTATAATCCGATTATAACTGTACAGCCTGAAGAAGAACAAGTGATTGAAAACACAATCTTACGGTCCAAAATTATCAACAAAGTGTTTTAAAAACTCCTTCGAACCGATCACACACAAATGGTCCTATACGCAGATGACTTAAACATTCGGAGAGAGCTGAAGGGCAACAGTGATAAGCTCACATTGCAAGAGGACCTCAACAAATTGTCAAAGTGCTCCAGAGAATGGATGCTCCCGATCAATGTAGAAAAATGTGTAACCATGCGCATCGGACAAGCAAGCACAAGCTCCTAGAGGGAATAACACTTCCATCAGTTCAGACTCATTTGGATTTAGGTGTCACAGTTAGTCACGATTTAAAAACTAAAGCACACTGCCGCGCGGTGGCTGCACTTAGTGACAGATCATTATGGGCAATTCGCAGAGCCGTTACTAGAATCACCAGAGATATATTCACCTCAAGACTGGAAAACTATCCAGTCCTCCAGTCCTTGTCTTAAAGAGGACTCACAAACACTCTAGAAAGGGTTCAAAGGAAAGCAACACATATGATTCTCGGCATGACTAATTTATCACACGAGGAAAGACTAGACAGTTTAAATTTCTTCTCCTTATCAAACCGTAGACAGAGAGGAGATTTAATCACAATGTTTAGAATTTGAAATAATGACTATGGCCCTGACCCATTCTCTCTTCTCCTTCCCACCAGGTAGTCGTAGCACCTTAGAGGATATAGCAAGAGATTTTAAAAGCCAAGAAGAAGCCATATTGCTGTGAGGTGCTGGTTCTCACATGGAGTTATAAACTCCCGGGACCGACTCCCAGAAAAAGTGGTGTCTGCAGTCTCAAGTGTCCGTCAAGGATGCCCATTATCCCCATTTCTATTCAACTTCATCATAGATGTACTAATGGACTTAACTCGAACTCACTTCAGAGACTCAGGGATTGACTTGCTACCACTAGGGAATAAACTCGTTGACTTAGAATATGCAGATGATATAGTCCTACTAGGCGAGGACGCTGACAAAATCCAGCAGAGTCTTCTAAACAGCTTGAGCTGCAATCTAGGAAGGTTTGGCATGCGACTCGCTCCGCCAAATGCAAGATGATGTTACAGGACTGGATTTGACTACCCTGACTCCTAGCTTAGAAATAGGAAGTGAAATGGTAGAGCGTGTTGACCACTTCACTTATTCGGGAAGTTGCATCAGCCAACGCTAACGGGTTGATCGCTGACGAAATCTCATAACGGATACAGAGGACTAGTTTCACATATGCCAGTTTATGCCGTCTCTGGCTTCGTAGACGTGATATCCGGCTGGCTGTCGACCAGAGGGCGGGTGTACTGCTCATCAGTACGCTCCATCCTACTTTATGACGGTAAGCGAGACATGGCCATTGAAAGTGTAAGATATGAAAGGACTAGCAGTCTTTGATCATAGGTGCCTGGGTTCGATCTCCCGTGTTAAGTGGTATAATAGATTGAGCAATATAGAGGTTAGGCGTTGGTCGAGTGCTAGGTAGGTGGGAGGGGAAATCAATCGACCAGGCTGTGAAGCTACATCGACTGAGATGGTTAGGACATGTGTTACGCATTTCTCGCCTAGTCATCTCCTTCCTCTACAGACGGGTAATGTTAGCTGACATAGGGTCAGACTGGAAAAGAGCTAGCCAGTGGTGGTCAAACCAAAACATGGCTTCATCAGTCAATGAAATCCACAACAGTTAGTTTAAGCCAGCCACGTAGGAAGGTGTAAACTTCCTTATTGCGGTCTTCGGGACGGTAAAAACCAATGGAGGCTGGAAACAATTGGTGATATGGCTCAAAATCATCTTTCTCAATGGCTGACTGACGCAGATGCATCCATTTCGTGTGACTTATAATTTCCAATGAAACTGTTTTGTTCCTCGTTACTACTATTCCTTTGTCTCATTTCACACCTCTGTTTACTGTCTCTATTATGCATTTCTTCTACTTTCTTCTGTTGTTTTGTGTGCTACACGGAGGGAGTATGGCGACTTGAACTGCCCCACATATGTGCATAGTTCTATGTCGAAAACAGACAGACAGACAAATGAACAAATACAGAAATTTACTAGAAAAAGATCAACATAGGCTCCAAACCTTCTATCCTCAACCAAAAAATCTGAAATTCTGAAATATATATATTTATATAAATTGTTTTAAAAGAGAACAAATTACCTTTCAAATAAGAACCAATGTATTGTTTCACCAATCATTTTCCTGACAACAAGAGGAATAGTTGTCGACCATATCACATAGAATGGCTTCATTAACATAGTCTTCATAACACGTACAATTAAAGTATCACGTAGACAATAGAATAACAAGAGACTAGTACAAAAACCAAGATAGATGATAATATTTATGATATAATCCATTGTGCTTTTTTTATTTCATTTAATGGGGATAATATTGACACGTTTCACACAACAACAACAAAAATGAAGAGAACAGCGGCAGTTGTTGAAAAACACCCCCAATATGTCTACGACGATGATTATCTAAAGAAATTTTTTTTAAAAAAAGTATTATCAGCAGAGGAAAGTTCCTTCTTAATTCGTTAAAGTTTTAAATCCTCTTCTAATAATACGTGAAAATAAAAGATGGTATAACAAAAGGGGCGATCATCACATCAGCTATTCACGGGATTGGTGGCTCGACTCCCAACCGACTTATCGTAAAACTCGCGCCTTGCTTACTGGCTGGTCTTAAGCCTGAGAAAGAGAAGAAATTGGATGTGAGGCTAGTCACTCCAACGCGCAAAAACAAAACACCGTCGCTAGTGAAACTCCACACAGCTTGAAGTCTTACATTCTACTCAGAACAGAAGGTATGTTTATTAATTTATTTAAACACAAAGAAAATCTTGGTTGAATATGTGGCACCAAGAAAGATGTACCACACAATAACAATAATATTAATAAAACAACATAGATTATAAGAAAAAAATATAAGTAGATAACGGATAAAGAACTTCATCTAGAAGGAAAGTAGTCATATTTAACAAGTTCAAACAGTATTCGTTAACTATCATCGGGAAGGGAAGAAAGAAGGAAATCGCAGCACGTTCGCCATTGACTGAGATTCTTGGTCATTTCCAATAACGTTTCGAGCAACCAAATCCCAATTTCATTGATTGTGTGAGGGCTGAGATACTGCCTGGGCGCCCAGACCGAAGCAGTTGGTTGTCTTAAGGGAGCAACCCCAGAGCCTCTGACTTGGAGTCTAATCCACAAGCCAGCGGAGCAACATCATGATCTACGTCCCCATGGTTGCCAGTGGCCAACACAGGCTCACACACCATTTGATTTGATTGAAGCTGATGGAGTTCATGTGCCCCCTACTATCCAAACAGCCTTCCTGATATAGTAGGACCTACAGGAACATGAGTCCTAGCCAGTTTAGCTTGTTGAGTCACTGAGATATTTAAGCTCGACCACCACTACAAGGTAGCAGTTGTCAGCCGGGTACAGAAGGTATAACAAGACAGTTAGCAAGTAGAAGGAATAATTTGAGTTAAAATTGAATTCCCAATTCAAAAGTCCAACAGTTCAAGTTTCCGAACTTCAGAAAGGCACATATAAAAGACGCAGTAAAGAGAAAAAGAAATGGAAAGAAGCTATAACAAAAAAGAGAGAATGTACAAACCAAAGAATAGTAAGACTATAAATAGTGATTACATCTTCGCCATTGAACTATATCACTAACAGTATCTAGCCATTAGTTCTTAGTGTCTTCACTCAGGCAGTCCTCATATCCTTATATTGGTAGAACGTGTTGACCACTTCACTTATTTGAGAAATTGCATCAACCCTAAAGGATTAATCACTGAGGAAATTTTAGCATGGAAACAAAAGACGCGTATAGCATTTTCCATCTCCCATCATTACCTACCGATCAAAGGACTTCGTATTCGTCTACTGCACACAGCTGAGGCAGGCGATAGGCATTCGAACTATTAAACCTAAACTATGCATTCAAAAGAAGTTCGTGCAGCCACTATCCCTCCCGTGGCCTAATAAGGCATAACCAACGAAAGACTTCTACACCACCCTTTATTTATATTTTCAACCCCTTTCTTATCATCCCTTAATCTTATCACATCTTCATTAAAAACGTGTTTCATTTCCTTCCCCTACAATCTAACATTACGTAATCGGTTCATTTGTTTTTACTAGCCTTTATCGACTACTTCCACCTGAACAATTGTTTGTTTAATCATACTGTTTTTCATTATTCGTGTTATCACAGATTGCCTCATTTTTTCATCCTTATTATTGATAAGACCATTATTATTATTACTATTATTAATATTATCATTACCACTATTATGACTAATTGCACAATTTATATTCACCATCGTATTATCCTATAGACAAAACACCATGACTGGTTTATATTTGAATTTTTATTTGTAAACTTATATATATTAGAGTTAAGCCTGATGAGATCTAATTGAAAACAATATTGTTCGCTTAAATGTGTTGTTCTAGATTTTACTATGGGAATATTTAATATATTGAATGAAAATCTTCATGAGGCAGCCAGAGAATTTTAAAAAATAAATGGTATGGTAAGCTAGCCATAACTTGAAAGTGTCCTAGGAATAATCACGATGAAGAAAAAAGAAATTCCTATAAAACTAGTGATTAGCTCAAGGCAATTTCGAAAGTCATCATATTACTACTTACAAATTCATAAAGTAGGCATTCGGTTTCCAATGCAAAAACAGCTCGGATTATAGGTTTCTTTAGTGCGTTGGATTAATTTCAATGTAGATTCGGTCATGAACCAACATCATTTAGAGGTCATTGAGAACCACAGAGAACTAGACAGCTGCTTTGTCTTATCTGGGGACTCTTTAAGACTGCACACATACAAACCTACCAGGGATTGGACCCGAGGACTCGGGTCCTCGAATTCCAACTTCCTCAAATTGTGATATAGCACTATCCTTAACCAATGTCTTCAATTAGCATCCACTACACTTTGATCTGGTGCACAGTACTGGGGTGCAAATTTCAACTACAACTTCAGTTCAAGAAGTGAATTCGTAATTATCGTGTCACATGTTACTTAGTTGATGGTGGACAGTAGAATCTACAATGTGCGTTCCATCCGTTCTATTTAGGATTCATCACCTAGATGCAACTGCATCACCAGTGTGTGATGATGCTCTCACTGGGAATCGAAACCTAATTTTCCATCGTTAGCTACCACTATAAAAACTAAGTAACTTTACATTCATCCGAAGACACAGGCGGAAAGTCCAGAACAGGGTGAAGTCGGTAGGGCTTGGAACTTTTCGTGTATACATCAAGGGGTTTAAACCGATGGGCCACAACTCCACCTGCTGTCAACATACGAAGATTCATGTAGCACAGAGAAACAAGATCACTTGAATACTCTTAATACATATGTGTGTTTACATTAATGGCCAAGAAGACACATATCACTAAAGTCTTATACGGCAATATTAATTGATGACGCTATTTCGAGCACAATTTATTGCCATTCTTAATCATATCAAGACACTACTCACACGACTTTTCACTTCATTCATATATACATGAGTAACAATTGATGATTAGACATTTGAATAAAATAAACAATATGAGATAATGTACATTCAGAAATGATAACATGAGTGTTATCAATCAAATACAATCAGATGGGAAATAAGACGAGTGTTTTCATAGTCATAATAAGTAACTTGTTAAAATGTTGTGATTTGCTTGAATTGAAATAGAATTTGAAGATTATTTATTATCCTCCTCTGATTCGACTGACTGACTGGTGGTAATAATATCTTCCATATCTCTGGTACATTGGCATTGAGTCATTTCTGTTGCATGTGTCTGATATAGATTTACTCGACGAACCAGGCGGGATTCAGTAATCAATCTCTCTCTCTCCACATACATAGATTACTTCTTAGAATCTTAACCCTCTCCCACCATGGTATTGTGTGGTTGTGTTTATGCATGCAGTGGAATCGCTGAGCTTTTTCTAAATTACTTATCTTTTCAGGATCAACCATTCTTACCTCAGCTAAATTCTTATGTTCCGACAATCTCATTACCCCCAATGTACTAGTTTTACCTATGTAGTTCACATAACTCACAGTCATTGCAGGGTATTTTGTAAATTATATTATTTTGTCTAATTGGGTCAACCGATAGGGTCCTTCAACCTACAGAGCTTGCCCGTGAGTGAGATTGTAAGTTTGAATGCCACCCTAATTCCTGCTTTTATTGAGAATCCTACGTAGGGTCTCAGATGTCCCCTCCTTATATGGAATAACAGTAGATGACTTAAATTCTTTTTTATTTATGTTATCATTATTAGTTTCCTCATTTTTTTTATTTTGCTTTTGAATTTTTCTGATCATCCTAATGAATCTTTTATAGGACAGTTATTTAATACCAACGTTTCTTCTATCTGTTTTATTTCATCATTTAGGTCTTTTCTTGTGCTGGTTAGTGCTATTGCTAGGTTTGTTAGACACTTAACTAAGCAAGCCTTTGTAGATGTTAATATATTAATATTAACTGATGACGTTTCTAGCTAATGGCGTTATTCCACTACCATAAATCAAAAGCTTACCATACACCCCCTAAACAAAATCTGTCTCGACTTCAATGTCCAGGAGTATGTCAGCACTTGTGTTGTTCTTACAGAGTTGGGTTGCTAGACACACGATAGGTGAGGTTTAAGAGCATGCCAGTCAGGAATCGAACCCGGACCATTTGTGGCATAGTTGACGAGTATATTCTACCCCTTGAACACTGACGTACAGCTCAACAACATCTTCGGGAGTAATCAATTGTACTACATCGCAGACCTTATATTCAACATTGTTTCACTATGCCTTCACATTTGATTCACATTACCTTTGCATTCGTTTTTATTCTAAGCAGAAATACTCGTCACCGCTTGAAATCCTAGTCCATCTACACACCTTTTTGAGATCCTAAACAGTAGATTTCATAGAACTGCCTCTTCAGTACAATAACTGCTAACATACGTATTTTGATAAGCGTGATTTGTTGAGAACTCAAAATTGTTCGAAGTAAAGATGCTGTCCGCTCCCAACACCCGTTTAAAGGCATCCGGAAACACGCCAACAGATAGCGGACAAGACAAGCTCACCCATCTCCGTCAGCACCTGTTTACACAGATACGGCTGAAAGGCTGAACAGCCACTACACCGAGCCGAACACAAGTTCTCATCGTAACCAATACCGCGAACAAGCAACGGCATGCGATCGCACAACTCAGGTTCATCTACCAGCTTTTTAACTGCAACAACTTTAATATACGCTTTGGAGCTGGAGTTACCACGGCTGCTGGCACCAGACTTGCCCTCTAATTTGTCCTCATTAAATGATTTAAATTGTACTCATTCGAATTACGGAGCCTCAATTGAGTCCCGTATTCGTATTATACGTCACTACCATCCCGTGCAGGGAGTGGGTAATTTTCGCGCCTGCTGCGGTCCTCGGATGTGGTAGCCATTTCTCAGGCTCTCTCTCCGGAATCGAATCCTGATTCCCCGTTATCCGTTATTATTATGGTAGGCAGATCACCTACCAACAAATTGATATGGCAGACATTTGAAAGATCCGTCGCCGACACAAAGCCGACTGCGATCATTAAAGTTATCCAGAGTCATCACAGAATTCAACAGAGACAGCCAAAACTGCCCCCGATTGGATCTGTTCTAATAAATGCACCCGTTCCCTTGCGGGTCAAGGCAAAATTGCATGTATTAGCGCTAGAATTACTACAGTTATCTATGTAGTATATATGATCTAAGTAACCATAGATGATTTAATAAGCCATTCGCGGTTTCACCATTTTAAAGTATGTACTTAGACATGCATGGCTTAATCACTGAGACAAGTATATGACTACTAGCAGGATCAACCACCAGTTTATTTACACAGTGTTACACCCATTGACTAGGTATTGGTTTTCAGGAGAACCAAACACACCCATCCCTGCCACTTGCGAGACGAGACCGGTATGCAGGATCATCCTGTGGCACAACCACTCGAGACCCCCCTCCCTTGGTGGACCATTCGCACCATTAATATACATAGTAATGCATAGGGTAAGCATTGTTACGCCGATCATTGATCGCGTCAATCAATTATGCACTGCATAGACACAAGCCCAATAGAACTCATCTCGCATACAAGACTAGCCAAACGTATTATTATTATTATATGCAAAAGTAGCACGCTTAGCGACACTAGTGACAACAGGCCCGTATACACGAAGCCAGCAGCCGCCGTCAAATTCAATGAAATCGTTATCCCTGCCAACCAATTTAGCATGTAAATAGCTTCTATACGTCTACCAAGAATAGATAAAACCATATACAGTCATATAAGCGAGCTATGAGAACCATTTAACCCATGCTCACATCGTCTATATAGCTTACGCTTACAACACCATGATGAAAACAAAGTATCCTACGGATTTGGTCTACGCAGTTTGACTAAGATAATCTTGAAAAATAATCACATCAAAAATATTACCTACCAAGCAGAAAGGTTTACGTTTTTAAATTTTTTTAATTTATTGGTGCATTGAAGTTTCTGTAGCGGTTTGGTTAAGTTTTCGGGGTGGAGTTGCTAGCACCACGCCCCAACGCTCCCTCTTTATCCAGGCTTGGGACCAGCTAGAAAACTAGCAAGCTAGTAGTCTAGGCGAGGGAGCATTGTCTCAACTACAGGAAGTCGGAACGGACGACGATGTCAAATAGAGCGAGAATCGGGAAGGCGAGCGAGAAACACATTCATCAACCTGAAACCAATCTGGAAATCTTCGTCACACAACTCAGCATCAACAACAAAATTCGGTAGGATTTTCAATACAAACATCAAGTCAGTCAGTTCTTATATACGGATCAGAAACTTGGCCGGCGGGTCACAAAGAATATTTCCAACCGACAGCCTGTTCCAGACCTTTATCAACAACTGTCTTCGCTGGCTCTATACTGAAGGTCAATCAGATGGCCGTGCCGGAAACAAGCACCAACAAGAAACTATGGGGACAAACAAAACAAGAACCAGTCGCTCGCCCAGCAAATATGCAGGAGAAAGTGGAGGGAGATGGATTGGACACTACTCGCTGAGGAGGCCGGGCCGCTGGGTGACATCGCGCGAGCGTCAGGCCATTGCTCGAGTGGAACCAGGCCGAAAGGGAAGCGGCGAGTGGGACGTCAGTGCACGGGTGACATGGAGGAGATCGTGTGAAGAGGAGTTGAAACAGTATGGATGCAGGTGAAAAGTACAGCAGAAGGAAGACAGAAGCAAGTGGAGACGTGTAGTTGAAGCCCTATGTTCCACTAGGAACCCAAGGGAATAATAATAATAATATTAAGCAGTAAGGTTGTGAATGCGCTGATCACCACCCAATCGCTTAAACACTGTCACACCTACTTCTACGCACCAAAAAATCTTTGTTCATCTCGACAATTAGGACTGTCATTGATTCCTTATACAGGATTACTCATTGAAATTAACTGTTTCAAAAAGAAAAGTGTCCAGGAGGTTATCAATATCTCCAAAGCCCTAAACACAAAATCATCTCAGGTAGACTGACACAGTATCTATCATAATTATTATAAACCTACTACATTATGATCAGACCGGTCTAACAAACTTTACTCTACACAACATTCTGGAGATAGTTCTAAGGGAGATGAGTTGCGATGTACGCATGTAGATGACACCATTTTACTGAGATAACACTGTGGTCACGCTTAGATCGCATCCTATTAACTACAGCGGTATCGGAAGACAAGGCATCAACGGAGGTGTGTATTCAGGAAAAGTGGAAATCGTCAGGATGTTACCCTGGGACACCAGTGTTAGTGTTTTGAAAATATTATAAAAATTATTACTGTTAACTGTTTACAAACCATGGAATAGCTGAGGAAGGTAGTCCGCCAATTATATATAGTACCGTCGGTTAACAGATAGCTGAGTTCGTCTAGACTGTTTTTTTAACACATCGTGAGTTTGTGTAGTGTCCAAAAGGTTATACGACTCATAAGTAACCACGTTGTTGTTCCCTAAATGTATGGTGACTAGTAGTGGAATCCAGAATTCGCATTTCGTCCCACTTGAAACTCGTCAGATGAATAAACCTGTAAGCCAGGTGCGTGAGGATGTTCCCACAAGGAATCGAACCTACAGCCCCTCGTTCCAAACGCCAAAGTGTTATCCCAACTAGGCCATTTGTCTGTCTGTCTGTTTTCGACATGGAACTTTCCGACGATGTGCAGCACTTCAAGTCCCCACACTCTCTCCATGTACCACACAAAGCAACAGAAGAAAGTAGAAGAAATGCATAATAGAGAAAGTAGACAGGGATATGAGACAAAGGAATAGTAATAACCAAGAGCAATATAGTTCCATTGGAAATCATAAGTCACATGGAGTGGATGATTCTGCGCGAGCCATCACCGAGAACGATGAGTTTGAGACATATCACCAATTGTCTCCAGCATTCATTGATCTTTACCGTCCCGATGACCTCAACCTGCCAGTCAAGAAGTCTACAACTCCCTACATGGCTTAAACTAATTGTTGTAGATTTCATTAACTGGTTAAGCCATGTTTTGGTTTGACCACCACTAGCTAGCTCTTTTCCAGTCTGACCCTATGTCAGCTAACATTGCCCGTCCAGGAAGGAGATGACTAGGCGAGAAATGCCTAACATATGTCCTAACCATCTCATTCGATGTAACTTCACAGCCTCGTTTGTTGATTTCCCCTCCCACCTACCTAGCACTCAACCAACACCTAGCCTCAATATTGTTCACCCTAATATACCATTTCATACCGAAGATAGAGCGCAGGCACCTATGATCAAAGACAACTGGCTAGTCTTTTCATGTCTTCCACTCTCAATGGCTGTGTCTCGCTCACAGCTATAAAGGAGGACGGGGCGGACTCCTAAGCAGTACACACGCCTTTTGGTCGATAGCTAGCCGGATATCACGTCTACTAAACCAGAAACGGAGTAAATTGTCATATGCGAAACTAGCCCTCTGTATCCGTTCTGAGATTTCGACACCGATCAGCCCGTTGGAAATGGCTGATACAACTTCCCAAATAAGTGAAGTGGTCAACGAGCCCTACCTTTTCACTCCCTATTTCTGCACCATTATCTTACATTCAGAGGGGGGGGGAAAGGCATTCCAAACATTTGTGGATTGTAGCTCAAGGTGTTCAGAAGACTCTGCTCTATTTTGCCAGCCTCTTCACCTAGGAGGGGGGACTATATCACCTACATATTCTAAGTCAACGAGATTATTCCCCGATGGTAACAAGTCAATCCCTGAGTCTTTGAAGTGAGTTAAGGTTAAGTCCACTAGTATATCTATGATGAAATTGAATAGAAATGGGGATAATGGGCATCCCTGTCGAACATCACTTCACTAGTCGTCACAACTTCAGATGACAACTCGCTATAAGCCCTCATCTGGCATGCTCGACTTCACTGCAAGTCATCATCTACTAAATAGCATCATATTAATCCCTATACATCGTCAAAGCGCCCTTACTAGAAGCCAACAAGTCCATAAAGGCCGAACACTTCGTTGTCCAATCAATCTACAGGAAAATTAAAATATTGATTTTTATGGAGTAGTCTAAATGATCCGGTGAACAACACACTTTGCAGTCCAATCAGGTTATCATGCCTGCGCTTTGAAGTATTCAAGCTTTTTTCCAAACACACACACACACACATCACTCAACATTTCATCAAAAATGAACACTAATGCATGCGAAATATATATATAAAGCACAAGAATCGAAGACTATTCACAACTCATATATTTATTATCTGTGAAATCAGAGAAGGCAAGAAAGGAAGTGAAAAATACAAATAAATACGATTTAATCCTGACGTGTTAGAAAATGATTTGGATAGAAACGTAAGCCAGCTTCACTATCATCTCGACAGATAAGACCAGCTTCTTCAACAGCCAACAGGCGTGCTTTAGCTAGAAATGGTGAAAGATTTGAGGCACGCGCCAGCTCATCTGCTGTCAAACTGACACGTTCTTCAACTAGCTCTGCAGTAGATTTCAGTGTTTCAGTTTCATCTTCTGAAGCTAATTGGAGAACCTAGATTTAGAAGAAACAAAAAGAAGGAATAAGCGTGCCAATAAATAATAATATAGAAGAAATAAATGAATTTAGAAAGTATTAGGTGGTTTAAGGCAATTGGCAGGAAGCTGTATACATGATTTACGTCTCGTGTTTGTTGTCACTCGTTTTTCTCAGCAAGATGCGTCGGTGGCACAGTGGGAGAATACTCTCCAATTACGCACTCTCCAACCCCGGCCAATGGGGGGGGGGGGGGGTAGCATGACTAATATGGTATCTAAAGTTCTAGGCTCATTAATCATGCGTAGACTAAGTGGTGCTCGGAAAGCACAAACACGAGAGAGCCAGGCAGGCTTAAGACCACGAAGAGGGTGTATTGATCATATCTTCACTCTTCGACAGATTCTGGAACATACGCATTCTTTTTTACCGGCGTCCAATAATCGTTACATTTCTTGACATAATGGCGGCATTCAATTCTGTCGACCGATAGGTACTATGGCGATGTTCGGCTGTGAAAAGAATGCCTAGAAAATACACCGCACTGATCAAGGCACTCCCCATTTCTATTCGATTTCATCATAGACCTACTAATCGATTTGACTCTAACTGCTGACTTCAGAGAATCAGGGATTGACTTGTTACCACCAGAAAATAATCTAGTTGACTAAGAATATGCAGATGATATAGTCCTCCCTTCTAGGTGAAGACGCTGAGAAAATGCAGTCTTCTAAACACCTGGAGCTGCAATCCACGGATGTTTGGCATGAGATTCGCTCCTACTGTCAAATGCAAGATGATGTTACTGGACTGGACTGGACTACACTGACTCCTAGTTTAGAAATAGGAAGCGAAGTGTTTGGTGGAGCGTGTTGACCACTTCACTTATTTAGGCAGGAAGTTGCATCAGCCAGTACCAACGGGTTGATCACTGACGAAATCTCATCACGGATAGAGAGGGCTAGTTTCGCATATTCCAGTTTACGCCGTCTCTGGTGTAGACGTGATATCTGACTGGCTATCGACCAGAGGGCGTGTGTACTGCTCATCAGTCCGCTCCGTCCTCCTTTATGGCTGGCTGTGAGACGTGGCCATTGAGAGTGGAAGAAATGAATAGACTAGCAGCCTTTGATCATAGGTGTATGCGTTCTATATCCAGTGTGAAGTGGTATAATACCGTAAGTAATATTGAGGTTAGGCATCGGTCGAGTGCTAAGTAGGTGGGAGGGAGTACAATCGACGAGGCTGTGAAGCTACATCAAATGAGATGGCTAGGACATGTGTTACGCATACGTGCCCAGCTATCGCCTTTCTCGACGGACAATATTAGCTGACATACGATCAGGTTGGAAATAAATTAGCAGTGGTGTTCAAAAGAAAGTATGGCTTTATGAATCAGTGAAATCCACAACAGTTAGTTTAAGCCATCCAAGTAGGAAGGTGTAGATTTCCTGGTTAAGCTCCTCGGGACGGTAAACACCAATGAAGGCTAGAGACTATTGGTGATATGGTTCAAACTCATCGTTCTCAATGACTGGCGCACATTCATCCACTCCTTGTGACTTACAAATACCCAATGAAACTATATTATTCTTCGTTATTACTATTCTTTTTGTCCCATATCCCTATCTACTGTCACTATTATGCATTTCTTCTGCTTTCTTCTCTTGCCTTGTGTGATACATGGAGTGTGTTGAGGTGAACCGCTACACATCGGTGCAAATATCTATGTCGAAAACAGAAAGACAGACCCCGGTCACTGATGCACTCCTTTACCTCGAAAAACCAGCAATAAGACTGGTTGGACATGAGGCTAGCAGCAACCTCATCTCGTAAAAATAAACACCACTGCTAACGAAACTTCAAGTCTCTAGCTTGAAGCCCCTTATGTTCCGCTGGGAACGTAAGGCAATAAAAAGAAAAGAATTAATGAAATAAGGGAAAAAAAGTTAAATAAATAAATGTTTATCCCTCCTAAGACCTCCTCTCTATGGCATCTCGAGGACACCAACCAGGGTGCCTACACCCCACTTCTTGGCGAGAAATAACTTTCAAAGATTTTATGAACTCATTCTAGGTTTTTTTTTGACCAACACTACCTTTTTTCCAATCTGATCTTATGTCAGCTATCATTGCCTCTCGAGAAGGCGATGATTAGGCCTGCTTAACACATGGCCTAACCAGCTCAATCGATACATTTCCACGACCTCATCAATTGATTATCCCTCCTAATCTCAATATTACTCATTACGTTACGTTATACCACCTAAAAACGAGAGGCCAACACGCTCTACAACTCCATTTCCCATCCTCAAGTTAGGAGTCGGTGTAATCCCACTCCTGAAGCATCATAACCTTACATTTGATGATGGGAGCGAAACGCATGCCAGACATCTTGGGAGACTTTGCTCCTTTTCTTCAGCATCTTGACCTGGAAGGGTAGACAATATCATCTGTCTGTCTGTCTGTTTTCGACATAGAACTTTGCACAAATGTGCCGCAGTTCAAGTCACCACACTCCATGTATCACACAAAGCAACAGAAGAAAGTAGAAGAAAAGCATAATAGAGACAGTAAACAGAGGTGTGAGATGGGACAAAGGAATAGTAATAACGAAGAACAATATAGTTTCATTGGAAATCATAAGTCACAAGGAGTGGATGCATCTGCGCCAGCCATTGAGAACGATGAGTTTGAGCCATATCACCAATGGTTTCCAGCCATTAGTTATTACCGTCCAGAGGACCCAACCAGTTAGGAAGTCTACAACTCCCTACGTGAATGGCTGGCTTAAACTAACTGTTGTAAATTTCATTGAGTGGTGCCATGTCTTGATTTGACCGCCGCTAGCTTTTTCCAACTGATCCATCGTATGTCAGCTAACATTGCCCATTTTCGAGGAAGGCGATGACTGGACATACGTAACACATGTCCTAACCATCTCATTCGATGTAGCTTCACAGCCTCATCGATCGATTTCCCCTCCCACCTACCTAGCACTCGACCGATGCCTAACCTCAATATTGCTTACAGTATTGTACCACTTCATACCGAAGATAGAGCGCAGGCATCTATGATCAAAGATAAATAACCAGGCTTTTCATGTCGGCAACTCTCAATGGTCACGTCTCACAGCCAGCCATAAAGGAGGACGGAGCGGACTGATGAGCTGTACACACACCCTTTGATCGACAGCCAGTCAGATATCACGTCTATGCCAGAGACGGCGTGACTGGAATGTGCGAAACTAGCTCTCTGTATCCATGATGAGATTTCCTCAGCGACCAACCTGTTGGCACTGGCTGATGCAACTTCCCGCCCAAATAAGTGAAGCGGTCAACGTGCTCTATCACTTCAATTTTCTTGCGTCAACCAGTTCGGATGAGATGATCCAATGGCTCTTACTAACTTTGGTTTTAGTTTATTAACAGCTTTTACAGCTGTGTCTACAGTTAACTGTGCCAGGTTAAATCAGGAGAAGTAGCTTGACAATATCATCTGCCGTCCAAAAGACTCTTCCCTGTTGAAGTAACACTAACAACGAACCTGAATTCTAATATATTACCTCAGTCACAATAATAAGAATAAGAATAAAGGCTGAATAAACTATACTTACTAAAAGTCCATTTGCATAACACTTCAGTCGTATCGGTAGACTTTCTTTCTCCAGTTGTCGACAAGCTCGAAGTAAATCATCTGGTGATATTAAATCCATTCCACGTGCACGATTTATACGGCAATACGCCGTGGCCAAGTCCATACACCCTTGTTCTTTTAATAATGGATGCAATAAATTTGATAATTGATGAGCTAATTGAACATAAAATTTATTTGTACTATTCGATACTGAAGTTGACGATGACGAGGATGATGGTGCTTTCTCGTCATTGACAACAACACTACTTTCATTGTCTACAACACCATTGCCAGCATAGTTGAGCGTAATTCAGCGATTTCATTCGCTGAGAATTCATTACTCTGTGTTAAATAGAAAGGAGAGAAAAAATTTTTTTTAATTGTTCCTTTGTAGGGATTTGATTGGTTGACGACGTTAGAGCACGGATTAATATCAGTTAGAAAGTCACTGGAAGTCAGAAGAGAGTAAGTACTCACTGAGAAGACAAGGGCCAGACCGGACAGATCGTTTATTTACGAAATCAACACATTCATATATTTTCATATACATTATTATAGACTATTGTAAGCAGAAAAACATAGTCTTCTGATTGGTTGTTTCCCACTGAAAGTTAATCTTTCATCTCTTTGTGGCCGTTTATTGAAGTTCAGATTATCTATCTGAAAATTGTATCCGCCTACGCAAAATCTGATGTGACTGGTTGTTGAATCAGTCTTTGTTCTTATTTTTCCCATGACCAATATTGGGGACGTAAACATTGACGTAAATTAACGTCTACCAATTTGGCTAGCAGCCAGCTCTCACCACATGGCGACATTCAATGCATGATAACCCTTACCGTGTCAAAACACACACCATCGGGCATGCCTTCGGATGCAAGCGATTCTATGGAGGCAATGACAATCGAGTACATAGAGTCACGGCAAATCCTCAGCTGGGAGATGCCAGGTTTCACAGAACAAGAGTAGAACAAGACTGAGTGCACCGAAGCATTTGGTCCAGTTTGGCGTACGCGCCTCTAACCTTCACAATACGATTAGAGATTTTGTCCATCAGGCATCCCCCAGTACTCACACAACTACCTAAAACACATAACTTGTCGACAACTTGACGCTGTTCACCTGCAAAAGTGAGTGCAGGTATAGGATCCTGTCAATCTTGTAACAGTACTTTGCCTTAGACGGAGCAAAGAATTTACCACATTTATAGACACTGGTCGCCAACTGATTAGGTGTGATTTGTAAAGCCTGCATGCTATCGCATATCATAAAACTACAAAATTCATAGTGCGATAAAGGCTTTCTGTGCATTACAAACAAGAGCGCCCTTTGTATACCTCCATATAAAGTCTGCATCCTAAATGAGTAAATTTTGTCCTGAGTAAATTACCTACAACCCCATTATAGATAAGATTTTATTATGATAAATCACACAATGTTGTTATACAGTAATACTAACTGATGACGTTTCGAGCACAATTCATTACTGCTCATAATCATATCAAGACACTACTCACACAACTTTTTACTTCATTCATATATACATGAGTAACAACTGATGATTAGACATGAAAATAAAAATCAATATAAGATAAAGTACATTCAGAAATAATAATATGAGTGTTATCAATCAAATACAATCAGATGGGAAATAAGACGAGTGTTTTTATAGTCATAATAAGTAACTTGTTAGAATGTTGTGATGTGCTTGAATTGAAATAGAATTTGAAGATTGTTTGTTATCCGCCTCTGATTCGACTGACTGACTGGTGGTAATAATATCTTCCATATCTCTGGTACATTGGCATTGAGTCATTTCTGTTGCATGTGTCGGATATAGATTTACTCGATAAACCAGGCGGGATTCAGTAATCAATCTCTCTCTCTCCACCTACATAGATTACTTCTTAGAATCTTAACCCTCTCCCACCCTTCATATTGTGTGTTAATGCATACAGTGGAATCGCTGAGCTTTTTTCTAAATTACTTATCTTTTCAGGATCAACCATTCTTACCTCAGCTAAATTCTTATGTTCCGACAATCTGATTACCCCCCAATGTACTAGTTTGATCTATGTAGTTCACATAACTCACAGTCATTGCAGGGTATTTTGTAAATTATATTAATTTGTCTAATTGGGTCAACCGACAGGGTCCTTCAACCTACAGAGCTTGTCTTACCTGAGTGAGATTGTAAGTTTGAATGCCACTCTAATTCCTGCTTTATTGAGAATCCTACGTAGGGTCTCAGATATCCCCTCCTTATATGGTATAACAGTAGATGACTTAAATTCTTTCTTATTTATGTTATCATTACTAGTTTCACAATTATTTTGATTTTGCTTTTGACCTTTACTGATCTTCCTAATGAATTTTTATAGGACAGTTATTTAATACCAACGTTTCTTCTATCTGTTTTATTTCATCATTTAGGTCTTTTCTTGTGCTGGTTAGTGCTATTACTAGGTTTGTTAGACACTTAACTAAGCCTACCTTAACAGTTAACGGATGCGAGGAATTAAAATTTAAATGTTCAATATTAGAATGCGTTGGCTTTTATAAACGCTAGTGTGCAGTTTACCTTCTTCTATTCGTTTTATTTTACAATCTACCATCACAGCTAATTCTAATTGTTTATTTTCCTATTCAAATGTGAACTATATTCCTTCTACCAGTGAGTTTATATGTGTCAAGAAGCTAGAGAGAGAGAGAGAGATGTTCTGTTTGTAACACTGTGAGTGAAAGTGTCATCCACATATCTCCACCATATTATCTTTCGAGTAGGATTAAGTGTATTAAGAGCAATATTTTCCCAGTTGTTCATAGAGATATCTACTACGATGATAGGGGGGATATTGGTGATCCACTCCATCGCTAAACTATCTGTTTTTGTCTGCATATTTTGCCCTGGAATTTGAAGACAGCAGATGTAAGGCATACTTGAATTCCTAAAATAATTTCTTCAATGGGCAGCTTTGTCCTGTGAGCAAGTTCAGGATCCGAAGTTAGTCCCTCTTTGAACTGCTTCTAAGGCCATATATCGATTGGTATATTAGTATAAAGACAAGTTTTATCAAAACTAATCATTTCTTTATTATTCTCTAGTTGTGAATGTCATTTAGTTTCTCTTTTTCATTTCATATGAGTTAGCTCAATGGCAGAGAATACCTTCCAGTCAGTCGAGTAGAAGATCCGCAGCCTGCAATATTAATCTATGAACACAAAATCAGCTAAAGACAAGGTATTCAGGAGAAGAAAAAAAAGACGGGAAGACAAGGCAAACACACCTTAGAGTTTCGAATCTTTCTAGCCAGTACACGACTTAACTTGACCATTTCACTTGCATTTGCCATAAGACGATTCAAATCCTCGAATGTTTCAGCAATACTATAATCAGCTTCAACAGCACGTGCAGCCTGTTGGCGTTGAATTGCTCCAATCCCGCCTGTACCGAATGATTTAGCTGTAGATTTAGAATCCGAATGTAGAGATAATGCCCATAGTTTTACCTAAAGTAATACAATAAAAATGTAATGCTTTCACACATATTACCTATACAGACACAAGATATCACGATTCTGTGTGAAATTATATGTATATTTATATATATATATATATATATATATATATATATATATATATATATATATAACTGTGCTGAACTATATTGCATGTTGTTGTATTGTATCGTTGTTGTCGCTTTTTGCCCTTTTTGCTGTGAACTGTTTTCCTTTTGCTGGTGTTGTTCTCATTGTTTTGTCCATTATTTTCCGATTTTGAGGGAAGCAACCCACAAGGTCGCTTCTCTCTAAACTTTATCTTAATGTAACCATTCCTATCTCAGGTGTGAGGCTAGCAACCCCACCCTGTAAACAAAATTCCTACAGAAACTTCAGCACGATGAAACTCTTTGCACCAAAAGGAAAAGTATGTGTGGGAACATGGAACGTCCGCACTATGTACGAGACTGAGAAAGCTGCCCAGATCGCAAACGAGATGAAAAAATACGGAATCCAAGTGCTGGGAATATGTGAAAGCAGATGGAATGGGAGTGGACTCACCAAATTGTCAACGGGTGATTGAGTCAGTGATCTACTCCGGTCACCCAGAAGATAACCACGCGCACACCGAGGGCGTGGATATCATGATGTCACCAACTCTGTCTGTCTGTCTGTTTTCGACATAGAACTTTGCACAAATGTGCGGAAGTTCAAGTCGCCACATTCCGTGTAGCACGCGAAGCAAGAGAAGAAAGTACAAGAAAAGCATAATAGAAACAGTGAGCAGAGGTGTGAGACAAAGGAGTAATAAATAAATACAAAACAGTTTCATTGAAGATCATAAGTCACAGGGAGTGGATGCATCTGCGCCACTGAGAACGATTTTGAGCCATGTCACCAATTGTTTCCAACCATAGATTTTTGCCGTCCCGAGGACCCCAGCCTGGAAGTCTACACCTTCCTACGTGGCTTAGACCAACTGTTGTGGATTTCATTGACTGATGCCAAGTTTTTGTTTGACCGCCGCTAGCTTTTTTCCAGCCTGACCCTATATCCGCTAACATAGCTCGTCGAGGGAGGCGATGACTTGGCATACGTAACACATGTCCTAACCATCTCAGTCGATGTAGCTTCACGACTTCGTCGATTGATTTCCCCTGTTTACCTAGAACTCTACGCCTAACCTCCATGTTGCTCACCTTATTATGCCACTTTACACGGGAAATAGAACGCAGGCACCTATGATCAAAGACAGCTAGTCTTTTCATGTCTTCCACTCTCAGTGGCCAGGTCTCACAACCATAAAGGAGGACGGAGCGGACTGATGAGCAGTACACCCGCCCTTTGGTCGATAGTCGAACATCTCGTCTACGCCAGAGTCGGCGTAAACTAACAAATGCGAAACGAGCCCCTTGTATTCGTGCTGAGATTTCGTCAGAGATCAGCCCGTTGGGGCTGATGGTACTTCCCAAATAAGTGAAGCGGTCAACGTGCTCTACCACTTCACTTCCTATTTTTAAACTAGGCGTCGATGTAGTCCAGTCCTGTAACATCATCTTGCATTTGGCGGGAGCGAATCGCATGCCAAACATTCGTAGATTGCTGTTCAAGGTGTTTAGAAGACTCTGCATTTTGTCAGCGTCTTCGCCTAGAAGGACTATATCGTCTGCATATTCCAAGTCAACGAGATTATTCCCAGGTAGCAAGTCAATCCCTGAATCGCTGAAGTCACCTAGGGTTAAGTCCATTAACACATCTATGATGAAGTTGAATAGAAAAGGAGATAATGGGCATCCTTGACGGACACCACTGGTCGTCATCAGTTCAGATGACAGCTCGCCGTAAGCCCTCACCTGGCTGTATGAGTACGAGTAGAGTGCCTTAATCAGTGCAATATATTTTCTTGGAATTCCCTTTACAGCCAAGCATCTCCAGAGAACTTCCCGATCGACAGAGTCGAATGCTGCCTTTAGGTCAAGAAATATAATGACTGTTGGACGCCGGTAGGAATGCCTATGTTCTAGAATCTGTCGGAGGGTGAAGATATGATCAATACACCCTCTTCCTGGTCTAAAGCCTGCCTGGCTCTCTCGTGTTTGTGCTTCCCGAGCACCACTCAGTCTACGCATGATTATTGAGCCTAAGACTTTAGATACTATATTAGTCAAGCTAATCCCTCTGTGATTATCACAGGAAGACTTGTCTCCCTTCTTGTATATGGGGATAATCAGTGACTTACACCAACCCGATGGGACTTCTTCTGATTCCCAAACGCTGCCTAGTACCTCAGTTAATCCGGACAGTAAGCTGTCTCCACCGTACTTAAATACCTCTGGCGTCATTCCATCAGGTCCCGCTGCTTTGCCTAGTTTCAGATTGGTGACAGCTTTAGTAACCTCAGTTAGTGACGGAGGACCTGTATCTATATCCCATTCAGGGAGGTGTTGGATGCTCGGAAGGTTGAGCGTGGCTGTGGGCCCTCATGCAATGAGAGGCGATCTCGTCCAGGATAATGACCGCCAGATTCAACTCCAAAGGAAGAAAAGTGTCAATTATACAATGTTATGCACCCACAAACAACGAAGACCTCGAAAAGAAAGAAGAATTCTACAGACAACTACAGACAACAATGGACAATACTCCAGCTGGTGACATTAAAATACTAATGGGAGACATGAACGCCAAACTGGGACCAGACAACACAGGAAGGGAACTCATCATGGGTAGAGAAGCTCTAGGAGAAATGAATGAAAACGGAGAACTCTTCGCCGACTTCTGCGCCTTCAACGAACTAGTGATTGATGGCAGCGTATACAAACACAAACATATCCACAAGACTACATGGGTGTCACCAGACAGGAGAACCAAAAACCAAATTGACTTCATCTCAATCTCAAGGAAGTGGAGGCGCAGCCTACTGGACACAAAAGCAAGAAGATGAGCAGACGTCGGCTCAGACCACTATCTCGTACAAGGGACAATCCAAATCAAATTAAAAGCTTACATGGAAACAGGAGCTGCGAATGGACTACAAGCCGAGTTCGACACTCAAAAACTGAAGGACCAAGATACAAAGGACATCTTCATTGCAAGCATAAAGGACAAAGCCCAGACACAAACCAACACCAGCGAAAAGGTCAACGTCGAAAAGCACTGGGACAACTTGAAAACGGTGTGGAGTCAAACCTGCATGGAAGTTCTAGGCAGAAAGAAGAGACAGGACAAACAGTGGCTCACTACGGACACTTGGAAACTAATAAAAGAGAGAAGGACAGTGAAACAAAAGATTATCCTGTGCAGCGACGAGCAACAAAAACAGGAGCTGAATGCAAGCTACAATACACTGAACAAAAGAGTGAAGAAGAGTGCCAGGGAAGACAAAAGAAAATATTATGAAACCATGGCAAACGAAGCAGAACAAGCTGCAGGCAAAGGGGACCTCGCCACACTCTACCAAACAACTAGGAACCTTTCGGGCAAACGTTCGACACAGATTAAGCCAATAAAGCACTACAATGGAAAGTCAATCACCAAAGAGGTGGAACAGAGAAAGCACTGGGCTGAACACTTCAAAAGACTTCTAAATCGACCGCCACCTACAACGCGCCCTACAATACCAACAACGAAAGCTGAACTACCAGTGAACATCGACCCCCCGACGAAATCAGAAGTCCTGAATGCAATCAAGATGTTAAAAGCTGGAAAAGCAGCAGGACCAGATGGAATCCCAGCAGAAACATTGAAAATGGACCCAGAGGCAATACCGGACTTGATGACATCAATACTGGAGAAGGTGTGGAAAGAGGGCAAAGAACCCGAGGATTGGAAGAGCGGATACTTATTCAAACTTCCAAAGAAAGGAGACTTAAGTCAATGTAAAAACTGGCGTGGAATTATGCTTCTGTCCATTCCAAGCAAGATACTAAGTCGCATCATCCTGGAGAGAATCAAACAAGCCCTAGATGAAAAACTTCGTCCGGAACAAGCTGGATTCAGGAGAAACAAGTCACGTGTTGATCAAATCGCCACTCTACGGATCATCGTTGAACAAACCTTAAAATGTCAGTCACCTCTCTATCTCAACTTCATCGACTTTGAAAAGGCCTTTGACAGACAGCGTCGATCGAGAGGTGATTTGGCAACTACTTCGCTACTACGGGATCCCATCGACAATTATACATCTCATCCAACAGTTATACGACAATGTTGCATGCCGAGTAATCCACAACGGGAAACTTATGGAAGCCTTCGAAGTGAGGACGGGAGTGAGACAAGCTGGCTGTCTACTATCACCAAAGATCTTCCTGATTGCAGTAGATTGGATAATGCGACGGACAACGGCGGGGAATGAGGAAACAGGCATAAAATGGACTCACACAAAAAACTTGGAGGATCTGGACTTCGCCGATGATATATAGTTGTCTGATTTCCCAAAAACTGGAAGATATGCAAGTGAAAAGTAACAAGTTGGCGACAGAAGAAGCATCCAAACAAGATAGGACTTCCTTCAGGTGAACATAGAGAAAACAGAGGTGATGAAGATTCTTGGCCAACACCAACAGCAACAACAACAACAGACAACAATCAGCCAGCACAAATGGGAGGAACAAACTCCTTTACCTACTGACCTGGGAAGTATCGTTTCAATTACAGGTGGACGGAACTGATGAGGACATCATCAAAGCCAGAATTGTAAAAGCAAGGCAAGCTTTCATTACCCTCAAGTCTGTGTGGAGGTCAACAGCACTCAGCATCAAAAATAAGATCCGGGTTTTCAACTCCAATGTAAGGTCAGTGCTACTATACGGATCAGAGACTTGGCGAGTCATAAAGAGCATCTTAAACAAACCTCAGACCTTCATCAACAGTTGTCTTCACTCAATACTACTCAAGATCAGATGGTTGGCTAGAAAAGATCAGCTATGCAAAAGCAGCAAATTTCGGTAGATAAGGTAGGTCCCATTCAAAGACCTGGATGCCTACGGAAACCAGATAAGAAACATTAGACCACAGTGAAATCCAGGTGTACATCAGGCGCTACCTCAAAACGTAACTACATAACAAGTAAGAACCAATAAAACTACATCAATTCTATTTTCTTTGACCTAACATTGAACTAATGAAAGAACAGTATGATATCTTGCATTAGTTTTGTAGGATTAAATTACAAATGTGATTACAAATGTGAATTGCAATTGACTCGACTGAAAGTGTTGTGTCTTTATGGAAGTGTGTATGGGCGGTTATTACTTCCCTGCTGGCGCCACACCATGGAAGTTGATTTCTTCTTCTTCTTTGCTATGTGAATCTACAAGCTAAAACACTGTTTGTTAATTTCTTTTGTTTTCAGTCTCACCCCTAACCCCCCCACCTCTTTTCTACTTTGAAAACGTATAAATTGATGATGAAAACTTAAACTAAAAATTGTAATTTAATTGGTGGATGGTGACTAGCAGTAAAATCCAGGATGAGCATTTCGTCCTGTTTGGGACTGGTCATCAGGATGTACCTGTATTTTTAAAAAATTCAATTAAATAAAAATTTTAATGCTTACATTTTGGATGCATCAATTTTATAATATTTCTTCTCTGTCTGTCTGTCTGTCTGGATTCAACATAGAACTTGGCATCGAAGTGCACCAGTTCGAGTTGCCGCGTTCCAAATAGCACAAACAAAGGTAGACAAGAAGATGAGTGAAGACAATCAACAGAGTTTGACAAGTATAAGAGTGAAACAGAATGGGTAATGGTGGAAAGGCCTCCAAAGCCTCAGGATGGTCGGGGGTGGGTGTCTTGCGCTGCGGGTTGGCCACCACTCCGTACACCTCTTGAAATGCTCCCATATAACCAGGCGTCTTACATAGCCTCTCCTGAGGAAGTCCTACTCACTGCCTTCACGTGGCGGAGGTGTTTTTCACCAAAGTGAGAGGGCAAAAGCGGATGCCCAGCGCTCTTCACCGGGTTGACTGTCCATTGGTTGACAGTCTAGGGCAGATGGCTAAACCCTGATTCCAAACCTCCAACGACTGGCGTATGAAACTCACCGGAGCTCACCGGCAGACGTATGGACAAAGGGCTTATTGGATGCCCTGGATGACTGGCCCCATTCAAAAAGGCGAATGAACCGGACTCCGGTCACCGGCTGCCAATGGATAGTGGACTCCTTACTCCACTCCTACTGCCTAGTAGGTCACACTTGGCTGTGTAAAGGCTAGAGCTGCACTCTCAAACAAAAGGCCGAGCGATGCTGGGGACATCACTCGTACCAAATTCCCATGAAACTTCATGAACTCTCTTACAAATTGCCGCGCCTGGGCAGCGATGATTCGAGACGTTCATGAAGCCGGCTCATCCTCCCGTAGGAGATAGCCGAAGTAAAGTAAAAAAAGTAAAGTAAAGAAAGGAATATGAAAGATTACAGAGACTGAATACTATGTCTGCGCTAGCCATCGACAACGATTTTGAGCCATGTCACCTATTGTCTCCAGCCATTGATTCCTAGAGTCCCGAGGGCCCTACTACCGCTTAAACATTAAAGTATGTTATTATCTTGTATATAACGATTATGTGCGTCGGTGGCACAGTGGTTAGGACTCTCGCCGACCATGTACATAGTCTGGGGTTCGATCCCCTACCGACGCACACCCGATATCAATGGTTGGCCTGCAAAATTTGGGCTACCGATATCGCATGCTGAAAATTTCATACTTCTACCAAAAATTACTGTATGGAATCAAGCTATAATAAAAAAAAAATTTCAGGTAGATAATGGCAACTGATGAGAACCTGTGAAATAGAATGATGACGATATCATTTTATACGGCAAATTTCGTCTTCCTTTCTTTATCGAAAAGTAGGAGATAATTTATTATGTCAGTAGTTAATGTAATCATCAATAGAAATTAAACTTTGCTTTCATTACATACATCACACCTACCTTTAAAACTTCATTTAAGCCTCGAAGAAATTCATGATGTCCAGCTCTAGGAAAGCCTAATTTCACATGATCTTCTTTTGAATAACTCACAACAGCCGCCGTTGTATAATTATAATTGACAACAGCATTTTCACCGCCAGTATTTCCACCACCACCAACACCAACATTATCACACCAATGTTCAATCCATTTTGGTGGATTCGATAAACTGATTAACGCATTCTGTAAAGCAGGCACACTGATCAGGCGTAGAATAAGCTTAGGCGTACGATTTATTGTAAGACCACCGCCTTCTTCAAGTTTCACCGAGATAATAGCAGCTAATGGTAAAGCTATAAATGATGAACTATCTGGTCGTAATGGATCAAACCATAACAGACGATGAGTTGTCAACTTGACGACACCACAATCAAAAGCACTTCGATTAGGTCCATCATAGAGGCGTACACCTGTCTGTTGTAGCACGATTGTCTCTTCATTGATGTTATCTAAACTTGTTGAACCATAGTTTTCAACATCATCGGAGCACCAACGGAAACGATCCATAAATTTTAATAATTACATAGATGAATATAACGAGGGTGTCACGTACTGTATACCTAATTGTTTAAAAAAAACAAAGAAAACAATAGTAAATGAAGACTATTCACACAAAAATAATTTACAGCTAATAGTAATATAAAAAGGAAGATACTATTTTATATAACCATAAAAGAATTAAGCTCATCACTGCAAGATATGTAAATTGATAAGGGAATTATTGCTTAGATAAACAAAAAAAACTTGGAGGATCTGGACTTCGCCGATGATATATAGTTGTCTGATTTCCCAAAAACTGGAAGATATGCAAATGAAAAGCAACAAGCTGGTAGAAGAAGCATCCAGACAAGATAGGACTTCCTTCAGGTGAACATAGAGAAAACAGAGGTGATGAAGATTCTTGGCCAACACCGACAGCAACAACAACAACAGACAACAATCAGCCAGCATAAATGGGAGGAACCTGGAAGAAACAACCTCCTTTACCTACTGACCTGGGAAGCATCGTTTCAACTACAGGCCGACAGAACTGACGAGGATATCAAAGCAGCGAGGATCGGAAAAGCAAGACAAGCTTTCATTATGATATGTATCCACATATATATATTTATGTGTGTGTGTGCATGTTGGTCTCTCTTTCTGTTTGCTCGCTTAGTCTGTGACCATTTCACTTGTGTGAACTTGTCTCCTTTATTAATGTGTATTCTCCTTATATTATATTATATATAATATGAGTGTTTGTTGACAGTCCGTTGCTTAGTGACATAACAATTTGGCGACGGGGAAAACTACTATTAACCACTCAGCAGCAGCAACATAACAATTTACTATGGATTATTCTAAATTGGAATTATTGTTTGAACGACAGATGAAATTAATGGAAATGTTCGTCAACCAACAGACTGGTCCAGCTTCACCTTCAAGCAATCCCAATCATACCATGCTACCATCTGTCGACGGAATTGTGAACAGTATTTCACAGTTCAATTATGACCCAGAGGCTAATGTCACTTTTGACACATGGTATCAACGTTATGAGGATTTATTCACTGTTGATCTCGCCTCACAAGACGATGCCTGGAAGGTGCGAGTGTTGTTACGTAAATTGGGTCCGGCAGAATATGAACGGTACTGCAACCTAATTTTACCCCAGAAACCACGTGACAAGTGTTTCGATGATACAATAAAGCTGCTGCGTGAACATTTTGGAGACCACTCCTCATTATTCAGTATACGTTATCGTTGCCTCAAGCTGGCAATGAATGAAAATGATGATTTTCTTACTCACGTTGGCACAGTCAACCGAGAATGTGAGAGATTTCGACTCAGGTCCTTAACAGATGATCAATTCAAAGCCTTGATCCTCATATGCAGTCTCCAATCTCCTCGTTTCACAGATATCCGAACTCGACTGCTCAATCAGCTAGAACAAAATCCCAAGTTAACATTACATGACATAGCTGATGAATATCAACGGCTGATTAATCTGCAGAAAGACACACACCTGGTCGAATCAACACCTTCGAGAAGCTCTGATATTCGTGCATTACGAAAGAGCAAAAATCTCTCATCATCCAGTCCTGACCCACCTTCTTCTAATGTTCCGCGGAAATCTACACATACTCGTCCAACTTCACAAAATACTGCAAAGAAGACCCCACCATCACCATGCTGGCATTGTGGCGCGTGGCACTTTGTAAAGTCTTGTCCGTACAAAAATCATCGTTGCAGCAAGTGCAACATCATCGGTCATAAAAATGGTTTTTGTCAGCCACGCAAACCCAGATGTCAAAATCCAGCGAAAGCTCGACAAACTGTTGGTCCTAAATCCCCAAAAAGATCATTGAGTCTACGTGCAACCTGTCAAGTCACAACACCAGCTATGCGGAAATATATTGACCTTCAGATGAATGGTCATGATACTCGTCTGCAGCTAGATACCGCCTCTGATATTACTGTTATATCAGAGAAACTTTGGAATTATATTGGCAGACCACCTATCACAAATACTTCCCAGACTCTTCTCAGCGCCTGTGGTGGGCGGCTCAAACTAATTGGTGAACTCAAATGTTCTGTTTCCTTCCGCAATACCAAATTCACAGGAATTTGCTACGTCACCAAGAGTGATTTAAATCTTTTGGGACTTGATTGGTTCGATCGTTTGCATCTGGCTGATGTCCCACTAAATTCGCTATGCAATGCAGTCAAGAAGCATAAAATGTCAGACAATTCCGGACGAAGCCGAAGCCGCAAACCCAACAGTCAGACGAAACGACAGACGTCAACAACAAGCCCAAAGGTTCCAGATAAACCCCCAGGTAAACATCCTACTAATCATCCATCTTCTCAAAAGGGGAGGTGATATGTATCCACATATATATATTTATGTGTGTGTGTGCATGTTGGTCTCTCTTTCTGTTTGCTCGCTTAGTCTGTGACCATTTCACTTGTGTGAACTTGTCTCCTTTATTAATGTGTATTCTCCTTATATTATATTATATATAATATGAGTGTTTGTTGACAGTCCGTTGCTTAGTGACATAACACATTACTCTTAAGTCTGTGTGGAGCTCAAAGGCACTCAACATCAAAAATGAGATCCGGATTTTCAACTCCAATGTGAAGTCAGTCAGTGCTACTCACTATACAGATCAGAGACTTGGCGCGTCATAAAGAGCATCTCAAACAAACTTCAGACCTTCATTAACAGTTGTCTTCACTCAATACTACTCAAGATCAGATGGCTGGCCAGAAAAGATCAGCAGCAGGGATCTATGGCGATGAGCGAACCAACGAGGAACCGACTGTGAAACAAATAGGCAAGAAGAAATGGAGGGGGATTGGCTGGTCATACTCTGAGGAAACCATCAGTGACATCACTAGACAAGCCCTCGAATGGAACCCGAAAGGGAAACGGCGAGTTGGTCGTCAGTGCAAGGGTGACTTGGAGGAGGTGATGTGAAGAGGAGATGAAAGCGTGTGGCCAGACTTGGAGAGGGGTGAAAAAATTGGCAGAGAACCGAACTCAATGGAGACGCGAGGCTGAAGCCCTATGTTCCTCTAGGAATTAAAGGATATAATAATAATAATAAACTCTCCCTCACACACACACACACACACACACTTTGAGTGCTACACGAGGTTATTCTACCTTCCGTATGAAATGGTCTAGTATAATAAGAAATATTAAGGTTTGGTGCAGAGTGTTAGGGTAAGGAAGGGAAGACAATCGATTAGGTTGTGAAGCCACATCGATTGAGATGGCTAGGACACGTGCGTTATGCATTCTCCAAGATACCGCCTTTTTCGATCAACGATGTTAGCTGGCATCTGTCTCTCCATTCACAATAGAGAAGGGGTTAGAAGAGGTCGACCCCGAAAACTGTACATCCCAACTTACCCCACCACCTACGGTGGTCCTTAACCGGGCGGTAAGTTCATTAATACGGAAACAAACCACCAAGAAACCAGTTCATACAGGCCATGTGTGACTGGCTGGCCTCAAGCAGCTGTCCCGGGGTCCTGCTCTGCGATCAAGCAACACTAACCCCCTCTTTCTGTTTCAGGTACCCAAGAATCAATCAACTTCCACGGTGTGGGCAGCTGGGAAGTAACAACCGCACACACACAAACTTCCAAGAGCACACGAAAACAGACAGTTAGTTGGCATTAATCCATAACTGACTGGTTTCAACATAGAACTTCGCACAGATATACAGCAGTTCGAGTCGCCACACTCCATCAATCTATGAAGTGAATGAAAGTTAGTTTGAACCAAGCACATAGGGGGTTCGGGTGGGGTGTAGACTATCTTGGCTGAAGTCCTCAGGAAGTTAAGAACTAATGGCTAGAGATTTTCAATGATATGAATTAAAATCGTTCTCAATGACTACTCAGATGCATTAAACTCTCCTAATCTTTTCCGTGATACTATTCTTCCTTTCTTCCGTTGTCTATTTCTACGCATTATAATCCTTGTGAAGGTCTTGTTTTCTCTCTTTTTCATTACTTTGGAGTGGGGCAACTCGAACTATTGCACTTCAGTATTGAAATGCTTAGACCTTGGATTCTCGTCACGAACCGACACCAATTAGAGTATCGAAGGGAAACCGATAAGAGTACTGGATAGTACAAATGAATGGTTAACAAACTCACATCTCATAACACCTAAAGGTCTTGGATTTTATACCTGATGGATTCGTGAGGGCAACATATTGCTGGATAGTCTCACAGCTAGAACGAAGTGACAGCCGTCCAGTACTGCATAACCTTCAAGAACTCACTAATTGATGTCAGTTCATGACGAAATCGATACTGATTTATGTTTAAAGTCTTAATTGACCAGATAACGGTCTACAGGGGAAATATGCTTTTCTGTAAGAAAAAAAATGTGTATAACCTCTAAAACGAAACAGCTGTCCAGCACTCCACTACTGATTTTCCAATGGTTCTCTAACTGATGTCAGCTCATGATAAAATCCTCCAACCAATCAATCAAACAAAACAAAAAAAAATCCCTGCAAAACCAATACTTGAAAATTAACCTCTAAAAAGCAACAAGGAGAATCACAAGGATTTATGAGGTGGAGGGGGGATAACAGAAGACACAAAACGATTACAACTAGTTAACGTTTCTATAAGAACTAGAGTTTTGCTATTAGACACTTAACTTACGACTACTTGAAGTTCATTTCAATCATTGCGACATCCAAAAGTCAGTAGGGTCAGTCTGGCTGATCAGTCGTTCAGCAGTAACCACTTTCAAGATCATATTTAACCGTCCAGTCTCAAAAACAAAATCAAATAGCAGAAGGGACTACAATGTTCCTAAATGTCCTTGCTATTTTAAGAATAATTTCGACTAAAGGTGAACTAACACTAACTCATCACTGATTTTCAACATAGAAATTTGCACAGAAGTGAAACACCAGTTCAAACTGGCATTACTCCTCCAGATACCACATTGTTGAAGATAAGAGAGAAAAAAGATTCAAAATAACGATAAT